TTTAATAGATAACTTGATCAGTTCAGTTTACAGGTAGGCATACATCTTGCATACTCACCTGTGTGGGGCTTACAAAAAGGTGAAAGGAAAACGACATCGGTTGCCAATGGCAACGAAATGAATTCACGTTATGTCACGCAAACGAGAAAGTAGTCCCTTTTGAGGTAGAGGATTGTTATACAAACCTGATCACTGTTGAAACTGTCAATTAACTGTGCTCTGAATTCTTAAACATTTGGCAGTGTTAAGTAAACAGACCGATGTTTACCCATTTATTCCCCCCTGTCTACGATAAGTTCCGGGACGTCTCCAGCTTGGACGAGGACTAGATGTGATGTTTTGTTGCATATTACTGCACGATTTCTATTGTGACAACGGTCTGGTATATCCGCTCAAGCCCATCAGTAGCATCGCCTGGCTTTATATTGTCACTGTGTTTACATGACCCTAAGGGGTAGGAGGATGGCAGCCTGACGGAGGACTGCCAATGCAGGGGCCGACCCAGCTGGGGTGGGAGTATGGGGTGACGTCGGTGGGACGGTTTCATTATTGAAATTTAATTTAATTAAAATTTTATTTATTTAAAAATCTAATAAAGCTGAGGACGAATATATACTAGTATAGAATATGGATCAAAAATAGAACAATATCATATTGAGTTTTCCTTACATATGAGACAGACAGTGGTGACATATTTTCAGATACTTGTGAAAGGTGAGTGAGTATGGTTTTACGCCGCTTTTAGCAATATTCCAGCAGTATCACGGTGGGGCTTCTGTAAAGGTTTAAAACAGTAAATTTTATACAAAGTACTGTTCTCATGCCGATAACGGGGTGGTGGGGCAGCTTGGTGGTTAAAGCGTTTGCTCGTCATGCCGAAGTCCCGAGTTCGATTCCATACATGTGTACAATATGTGAAGCTTATGTCTCGTGCTATTGCTGGAATATTGTTTAAAAAACCATACTTACTCACTCAACCATTACCGTTACGGTCGTAGAGGACGGTTGTTTTTAAACAGCGTACATGTTTCAACAAGACCGGTTTCTGTTGTCTAACCCATAGTTCCATATTGGCCATTTTATTTTAACCTGATGTGCTACGATACGATAAAAATATCCAAGTTATGAAAGGTTTGTACGGCGTTTGAGGTCACATAAGTGTGAGATTTATTAATAGTTTACCTAAACACCTAAATGTCTTCAACTCAACACTATTTAACACTGCCATTCACTGTAACGCGCTCCCGTAGTTTTGATGCATCCCATGTCTGATGACGTCGTATGACGGTCCGGATGCCCCTGTACAGAATACAGTCATTCATACATAGACAACACACGTTTGATATGTCAGTCACAGATGTAACTTATAACAACTTAATACTTCATGAATGAAAAGAATAGCAAACAGCGTATAAAATACGTGACCGAAATTGATCCATGAACTGATTTTCAGTGGTCGTCCCTAGAACTAGGTCGTTTGATCGCTTCCTGGTTGAAGGGTTTTGATAGCGATTCAGTAACATATGCTTATGACATCATCGTCGTTGTCATCATCGTCATCATCATCATCATCATCATCATCATCATCATCACGTCGAAGGCCCTGTTTCCTCACTGGGGTACAATGTTTGAAACCCATTTCTGGTCTCATCCGCCATGCTATTTCAAGATGATTGCAAAAGCGGCGTAAAAGAAAACTCATTTAAACACATAATAGCCTGACTATATTACACCTGGATGTGACTAGATGAGTTTATTTTCATCATCATAATCATTCCTATTCAATTCGATGAACGGCATTATTAGCGCTGCGAGGCTCCGGTTTCTGACACGACATGGGCTAAAGTCCGGTTCTCTTATTAAGAGAGGGACAAAGTCTATATCTTCATTGAAGCAACGTGACCACTCACGACAACCATGTCCTTCCTCTAGATGATCAATGAGCCCACGACATATACTGCACACACACCCATAAGCCTGGAAACTGCCTGTACATATTGTAGTAGTGAAATAGACCATAGACAATAGCCTTAACTGTCCGCCTGGACTGATTGACCGCGATCGAAGCTTGAGATCACGACCCTGATCCTCTTGGGCTTTGCAGTGTATTAAAACTGTTTAGAAGACAATAGGAGCTTAGGATAACTCATCCCATTCTATACATTTCCACACGTGTTTAACCTATAATAATTAATGCATTTGATACTGTGTCATATTTGTGTGTTGGGCCTAAACTTTGCAGTGGTTCGGCCACTGTTTCTGTCTTCTTTATAACCGGTTAAGTGTTTGTAGAATAGGGTGTACCTCGTTAAATACTAATGTGATAGCGACCACATGGTGGTTAATGGGTGTTGAAAAAGGTAATCGGAAAAAAGCATCAGGAAACAAAGAATCGGAAAAAAAGAATCTAATTTTGCCAGGAAAAAAAGAAACAGGAAAAAAAAGAATCAGTTCACAGCAGTTAAGACTAGACTTCTTTGAGCACTTCCACCAGACCTTGTTCTGTCTTGTACAGTTTCTGGTGTACATGTACCCATTCCGGCAAGCTTGAAAACAGCATGAAATTCTGGATTCTTCATTTTAATCTTGTGTCTTAAGTTTCAAACATTAGATTGACTGTTATGAATAGGAAGAACTGAATCAAGCACATGACTATCACTTTCCCTATACTTACACATTGAGGAAGTAAGTAACATATATTAGGTGGTTTAGAGTTGGTCAACCTCTTTAGGTATACAAGCATGGCTTCTTGTTGTTTTCATTTGCTTTACCAAAAACCAACAACAGGTTATAGGGTAATCCAGGCTGCTGTTGCATGACGTGGACAGTTTTGTTTCCTGTAGGTACTGAACAAGGGGCAGCCAAGCCCATCCTCTCTCTACGACATCACTGAGACGTGATGAGCGTGTACAAGCAGGTAACGCCATCGTCCCCAATAACAATTTGATGTACTGTTTAAATACTATTTAGTTCAAGTTCAACTAAAGAAATATATGTGGAAGTCGCGGTGGCTGAGCGGGTTAAGCGGCTGACTTTGTGTGCTGGCGATGAGGTGCCTGTCGGAGGGTTGGGGCTCGAATAGCGGATGGGACGCAATCCAACAAAAGTAGTAGAATCTGCACTTTACTAAGAAAGTGCAATCCCAAAGATAACATATGTTGAAGAAATATATTACATGTTCCATGTTTGAATACACATGAATAAAGTCAGCCAACGTCACGACGTCATGGCGGTTCAAGAGTACAAATGATAATAGACGGTAGTCACGCACAGCTTGTAGACATCAAAACTGAACATTGTAAACAACTTTATATTTTCTAACAATTTTTAGAAATGTATCCTATTTTTAAAGTGTTTTCATACATGTTTAATTTGTTGTTTTTTGCACCATTAACATAAGGGATACAGACAGTGGCGCCGGCGCTTTGTTGAAATTTGTAGGTGGATAATGTACTCCATCGCCCCCTTCTCCGAGGTGCTGAGTCTTTTCATTGGGGGAACATAAAGGCTAAATAAAGTCTGAATCTAGTTATATAACGTGAACACCAGACTAAAACCAGCCTAATTATGCAACGAAACAGATTTCATTGGGAGTTCAACTCAAAAGAGCTGTGAGAAGTACATGGCGGCATCACTCATAATCAGTGATGGCGTCATGTGTACGCAAAAAGGTGTTTGAAAGAGAAGACACACTGCATATTATAGTTATATATATTTGCGTGCCTAATTGTTGAACTAAACAGCAAGTCGAGCATGGACGGTTCCGACAAAGAACCTGATGTCACAGTGTGATTGCTATACTGGGTTGGTTCTCTTTGTCTGGTTTTAAGCGTCCATACAAAAGAGTATTTTCTGCCTACAAATAAGGAACACATTGCCTGGATCTTTAAAAGTGCTTCAGCTTAGATTAGTATCATTATGAACTGTATAATAATGATTATAATAAATAAATACATGGTATAACTGGACAGGAGAAATCTCATTCTCCTGATGAAGGGGCAAGAAGTAGCCCAGAAACGTCTTGTTGTAAAAGTCGAGTCGGTCGTACGGTTCCTGCCGGATCACAAGTCTGTTTTATAGTCCTAGGCCAAATGTTAGAAAAGTCCCTATCTTTTAGGATCTCTCAGCAGCAGTAAAGGCGTTATCCAGTAATTGGTATGACAACTCCCACCCTCCAGAGATTCTTGTCAATGTGGAACTAGACACAGAATGTATCAGGTTTCCTTAAACACACAAGGTTTACCCTGCTGTTGAAACAGTGTCCACATGTTCATAGACCAACTGCATGAGTATTAACCGCATGGTTTAATGGACGGTGACAAGCACTGATGTTCAACATGATCAGGATATGCAGTATGGGTGATAAGGCCTGGTGTATCATATAACCTGATAATGATGTTATCTCTACATTTGGCCTAGGAGTATTTACTAAATCACCATCATGATACACAGTGTTAATGGTGGGCCCTCTCATAGCTGATATGTCCCAAATATGTGTTTATGTGAAGTGATACTTATCATCAACATTGTATTGGAAATAGATATGGTAGCTATGCAACTATTAGTCTGTCTCATAGTCCCTGAACCACATTACTTTCCCTACTGCCTAGCCCTGCCTGCAGTGCTAAAGCCCTAAATAAAGCAAGTCTAGATTTCCTCAGGTTCAGGTCTGAATCACCCTACTCACTGGGTCTCCTTTTCAATTTAAATGGGTTTATTTGTTACTACCAAAATTATATATATTCAGAGACTAAACATTAGTTTGTGTAACTATGGGCAGGTATTGCTAAAATTGTGGTCGAATTTTAATACATGTTCCGCTCGTAGACGATTGTCAGAAAATATTTTTTAATGTAAACTGTGTTTTTTCCCCGTAGCATTGTAGTATATCGTTGCTAGGTGACAACGGCACAACCAAGTCAATGTATCTGATGCTCCATCACTTGAAAACAATGTGCTTTTTCATAAAACTTGTGACAACATAGAAGACAAACAAAGTGTATATTTCATGTATTTTTATTATTTTGTATATTGAAAACGTTCACCACATCGTACATAACTCACCAAACATTATAGAAAAATAGGAAAACAAACCTTCATGTGGGTTTGACTCATATTTCCATAACATAACAGATTCTATCACAAACATAGGGTAAAACTGTCATTGACATCTGAGAACGTTGAGGCCACCACACCAATGTGTTAACCACACACTGCTGAACACCTCCATAGCTGACATCTAACATTGACTGAACATATTCAACATGCTCACAATATGAACATTGAACAATCCGAACACGTTCAGATCCTATGCGCACATGCAGTGCGCATCATAGCACCATATTTGGAATGGTAAAAGTGATACCGTCTATCTTTGGCACAGTACAGTTCTCTGTCACGGGAACACCGAGTTGCTGTCTATTATCATTTGGGGCAAATGTCCACCTAAAGTTTTGACCATCTTGAGAGAACGCCTTGGATGCACGTGCATGCACGTGAATCACCTCACATAGCACTATGAGGGTGACTCGGATTTCAACGTATGATGATGTATGATACATTTGAAATATCACCCATTGTGTCACAACCTGGAGGGCCTGAAAGACGTGTGCACGAAGTTCACGTGCTGCTGTGTCGGATGTTACTACACGTGTAGAGACAATGTTTCTACTTGGTGCCTATTTGTATTTAGGCTGACGTAAATAATAGCACCGTTATCAGCGCTTCGCACTAATGCACATTCCAAGTAATCATGATGAGTAGAATGTATAAACAGTAAATACCCATGAAATGACTGGATTAAGAAGTGCATAAAATTGCAAAACTGCAAATAAAAAAGCTATCCCTAGCGGCCGTTTATACTGGCAAAATATAAATTTTCGATGTCAAAGATAAAAACGTTTGTAATATCAGTTTCAATGAGATCAGTTGTTTCCAGTAAGAAACCGGATATGACGTCAATATGTCCTTAGAATTCCGCTGCATGTGACTTCCGGCATTCATTTCGGTCACAGCTCGTAGCGGATGTGGTCAGACGGTTTCTCGTGCAACCGTCGCAGCAGCAACGCCAACCCTGTCTACTTCAACGTATCACACAGTTGCAGCTATCACGTGACTGAAGGGTTCAGACGCTTGGCGCTGCCCGGTGCGTGCGCACACCGGAAGGAGTAGGTCAGCCCAATCGGGTTCTTCACTTGCTCTTGGGCTCGTGTCTTTTCATGTGCAAGGCAAGATGGTCAGAGCGGGCGAAGGAACGGTCGCAGACTTTACACTTGAATGGCTTGGCGCCTGTGTGTTTTCTAATGTGACGTGTCAGTTCATCAGACCGGGCAAATCGCCATTGACAGCTTGGGAAGTGACATTTGTAGGGCTTCTCGCCTGGAAAACAACAGAACGTCATAAATACATTGCAACAAGAGGATACAAGAGTAACAACATGTTTAAATCTCGAATACCTATAAAACCATACATGCAATGCTTCTGCGGTTTGAAAATACACCAGATTAAAAATGACTAGTGGAACTTTAAATATTTATGGCATTAATTTAAAAGAAGAAGTTTCCGTATGGTAGAGACAATTACCTGTATGTATTCTTTGATGGGCCTTCAGATGTGAGCTCTTGGTATAGGCTTTGCGACAACCTGGAAAACAAAGGCAAAACCATAAGACATGGAGACAAAGAAAATACTGCTAAAAACATATACGACTGCTTTTATCACTTTCTACATGTAGAGGTTTATAGAGATCTTTAAATTTATAATACTGTTCAACGCTCAAACTGTTAAATATGTGTACATATCGCTAGTACTGAACAGATGTCGAGTTCTCAAGCTCTAGGCAGCGGGCGAGTCGGAATAAACAGGAGATCAATGCATATCGATCGCCAATTGCTATGTACTGGTCATGGCTTAGGTCATAGTCACCCTGACGAGGGAGAGCGGTCGTACAGTAGTAAACAACTGCTACGTCACAGCTGAGTATCACTTAGTCATGCCTTGCAACATGGCGGCTCTGGCCGCTTCGGGCGCTATGAAGTAACTTATTTATGACTCACTCTTTCTTGACTAACTAACGCGGTGAAAGCAAAGAGGTTTCTACAAATATTTGATGAATATGTCGTAACCGGAGAGGTGTCGTTCATTTCTGAGACAAATGATTTCATCTGATGCAACCCTAAAGCAGCTCGGTAAGCATATTTACCTGGGAAATCACAAAAGTGGATGCGCCTCTTCTCAAGTTCTGGGTTGTTTTTCCTGTTGTAGCGAATCGTAGAGCAACCGGGATGTGTGTTCTGCACCTTAAGACCTCTCTGGCAAGGTGAGGCGTGCATCGGGATTGGGATGGACAACCCCTGGACTTGCATTCCGGGGTAGGGGGGTGGAGGGGTCCGTCGTACGAAGTCTTGGCTGGGGCTGGCAGGCTGTGAGTTGGGCGGAGTAGGAAGAAAGACGGGGACGATGTGGTTTGAGTTTGAGTACTGGGGGACATCATTTTTGGCATATTGGTTGGGCTGGATGTACATCCCATTGAAAGTCACACTAGGCTCACTGATGCCAGGGATCTCTGACTCCGTGAAAATCACCTGCTGTGGACCAGACATTGGCGAGTTCTGGGATCGTCCATCATTCATCAAACATTGCAAAGACTCGGATTTTACGTCACACAATTTAGACAGTTCAAACTGGCAGGACGGTTTGTCGGATGTATCCATGGGTTCTTCCTTGACTGGGGAATCTTTGCTTTTTTGTCTGTTCTCCACGTTGTCTGACCCATTGTTGTCTTCTACCATGTTAATGCTAGCTCTAAGGTCCTCCCAGATTGAGTCGGACACTTTCAAGCTCTCAGCCTTGAGATCATCGTCCGTCTGGGGGATGACGCTGTCGTAGTCGGTGGAGCTGTCGAGGTTGAACATCTCGCCAGTCGCCTGGTCCACCGGCTCTTGCTTCACGAACGTACTGTCCTTGTCACAACCCTTCAACACATAGCCAAAGAAGTCATCCACGATAGATGAGCTCTCCCTGCGCGGGTTTAGATCCAAGCACTGCTGCTTGTCAACGAGCTGAAGCATCTGTTGTTTGGCGGAGTTCAAAAGCCCTGCGCGAAGTTGATTCAGTTCGTGAAGAATCTGGTTGTTGGATTTGCCGGGAGACCCTGGCACCTTTGACGGGTCCGCGCAGAAGAATTCGTCAATGACTGAAGCGCTTTCCCGCCTTGGTTTCTTTCCTTCTAGTTCCTGGCCTAGAATGTAGTGGTCCAACTCAGCTTTCACCTACAACGAATAATGAAGAAATAACTATCGTGACTAAATTACTATATATTTGAATGTTTTGGAGGGCAAGAGGTAACGCAAATTAAGCTAACGGTGTTACAACAAAGGAAGTAGTGCCACTTGAGCTAAATTCAATCTCCGGAAATAGCAACATATATCCCTGAATCCAATGACTATTTCCTGACTTTAAAACCCCTAGCCCTTCTTATGTGTTATAACCTACTTTGTGAGAATGGGGAATTTCCGAAGTTGAATTTGATATTTTATTATCAAGTCCAGTTCCGCTTAAGTCTTGTTTTCCGATTGTGTTAGGTGCGAGTCGGTGAAGCTACGTGCTATTCCGCTTGTCACCCTGGTCCCTATAACACCTGATACTCGCTTCTATCGCTAGCATTACGCGGCAAATTATGTTTCATTCATACGCCGAGAGAGAAAAGATTGGACGGGACGTTTCCAATACGCAGATCGCCGCCCACACACATTCCCGTGCCTCGGTTCACCGAGTACACACTAACAACCCCCTATCTATTTGTGAATCATCGATGGCCGATATCTTCCGATTGCGTGATTGCCTAGTTCGCTCATAAACAAGTGTGATAAAAATTTCGGTGGGTATTGCGTAATATGTCCCGTGACATTTACTGCAAGTCACCACAGGTAATCCACTATCGTGACAGTGGGTTCATAGTGTAGATTTCTCAGACACCCGAGACCTCGGGACACCTCGGTTATTTCATTCGGTAAACATATCTCCATTTCCAAGAACTCGGGTCAACTGAATATATTACCCTACTACTGGCCCCGACCCGCTGATAAGTGACGTTACACCTCTCTATACACCAACACGTGATTTTAAATTCAAAATCTTAAGCACTGAGAATGGGATCCCGTTTGTAAAATTCAACTTCATAGATAAACAATTAATAAAATAAACACTTTAAAAGTTTGGAATAGATATAAGAAAGTTCCCAGTGATAAATAAAGTAAACTTACGTTAGCAGGCAGACTTGGTAGAACAATTTCTGTCGGGGGGAGAAAACAGTCGTCTGTGTCGGGCACGATCTGATCCTCAAACAGTTGTGCGTCCGGGGGTAGTAAGCACAAGGTGTCAGCCATATGTAGATAGGTATATTTGTAATCCCACTTAGAAAAGAAGTGACTAGACGTCAAGTATCCACGCTTAGTAAGCTAGTAGTTCCTATGACTGTCTCTCACGAGGAGAATCGGAGAATGAGGCCTCAGTTATGAATGAATGCCTCTTATAGTCCCTTATGGGCGGAGCTTCGTTCCATATTTGGATGATTGCCTCTGATTGGCCGCCAGGCTAGAAGTGTTTATCACGTTTCCAGCCTATTATCCGCGCTTTAAAGCGGTCAAACGATCGATGACAGGTATCTGCATCTTCCTTAAACTTGTACAGACTGTTTTGATCTGACCTAGCAATAGTTCTCTCTCAACCAAAGCCTTTTCCTCAGTTTCAAGCGAGTGTATGCCCGCTCTCAGTCGATCAGCCGGCGCTCGCTTTTCCGGAACATTCGTCACGGAAAAAGCCGAAGAGTATTAGATGACGTCAGAAGGTCACAGGTCAGGGAACATTCCAGTATGGCTGCTGTGCGCTCGTAGTAAACAACTCTAGTATTGACGCAACGCTCTGCACTTGTTGAGTGGCCTTCTCATTGTTGTAGATTAAACTGGGTGTTATGAAAGCTTTCAATTACTCGTTACGTGAGAAGGAAAACCAAAACAAATCAACAAACTCTGTCTTATCAACAGATATTACTTCGTCAGTCATTTAACAACACATAATAAAGCATATATGGTAATACTAATAACAGAAAACAATGCTGAGAAGGAACGGAACTTCTCATGTGAAAGATGATATATCACTTAGATTATAGTCTCTGTATGAGTGAAAAAACCTCGGCCTCGGGGTGTTTACTAGAGAGTCTCAACCGTGACTAAGTGATTGCTGTAACGCTAGAACAAGGGAAAATTCCCAGATGACTTGAAGGTGTTTGTATTCGGTCGGGTCTGATGACACATAATCCACTCGGTCGGGATATTGGGCAATGATTAAGCGTATTAAGGTACTGAAGTGATTACATTTCAACGACGTGTGGATTTCCACGATCGATTCACACGAAAATATTGTTTTTACAGGGTCTGTAGCCATTAACTATTATTGATATACTGAAGTTGACACGTGCTCATGTTGGTCATTTATTTATCCATAATTGTAAACATAGTTTTGTTACAGTATACAGACTACGTGCTTGTTTTTGATCGAATCTCACAGGTAAGAGGTACTGGGGATTTTTTGTTATATTAAATAGAAACGGACTTGTTTTTAATCGAATCTCACAGGTAAGAGGTACTGGGGATTTAGAACTATACTTGAAATCGAAATTCAGATTAGTTAACTTAATAGCATAACAAAACAAAACATGTCTTTAGTAGGTCTAGAGTGCGGGCACAGTGGTTGATATAGGCTGTTATTTCACAGTGGTTGATATAGGCCGTTATCGGGTGTTTGCGAGGAACGCGGCTCTGCACTCTTACAACTGCACCGAGTGATCCGGATTGCTATGTTGTTGCATAATATTCTATTTAGTGTCAGGTAACGCGGAGGATCAGCCGTACTCGGCGAAATGTGCGGGGGTGGGGGAATACTGCCGCTGGCTTTTTATAACCGCTTCTCATGGGCTGAATCTGTACATACTCGCTTGAGGAACTAAGTGCTATACTGCCGAGGTTAATGTACTAGCGCTCGGTGTGTATTATGCGCTACTGTCAACCAGTTAGTGGCACGTACTATGCGCTACGGTACCTGCGCTACTGGTGTCATTAATACACTGAATTGCCGGTGTATACGGGGAAAGTATGCGCTGATGTATCACCATGGCAATGAGCTATTGTTTGGAACATATTTACTGTAAACAAATATACCTGTGTGAATGTTATAATTGCTTTGTTTCAATAAAGTTCACATGCATACGTTTTTTGATGGGAAAACACGCTCAGAAATTGCCCGTGCAACATATTGTAGAGAGCCGAACTATACGTTACTGTGTTGCTGTGTGTTATACTGTCCAATGTGGCGTCGTGCTGTACTGCGATTTACTGTGCTATATACACCTTTGCTGTGCTATACCATAATGTGCTGAACAATACTGCAGTGTGCCATTGAATACTGTATTATGCTATACCGTATTGTGCTCTTCTAGCTTAAACCGTACAGTCATGGTGCCTCCTAATCTGTCATACAGACCCTGAAACAAATAGATCCAGGAAAGCACATGCAAGTCTAGAATATGTGGCAGGTCTAGATTTCCTCAGTTTCTGATAAAATAGAAAGTCTCTGGGCTCCTTTCCATTATGTTTTATGATTATTTGTTATGAACAGTTTTTCCCTATAAAATATGTTCATTTCAGAGACTAGATGTTAGTCTATGTACCTCCTACCTGGGCTGTACTACACCATAGTGGTCGATGCTGTTTTTATGCCAATTGCCTGTTGTTTTGTACTGCTCTATGCTGTCTTTTATAAACTCCGCATAGAGTGAGTGAGTGAGGATGGTTTTACGCCGCTTTTAGCATAGTCCAGCAATATCACGGCGGGGGACACCAGAAATGGGCTTCACACATTGTACCCATGTGGGGAATCGAACCCGGGTCTTCGGCGTGACGAGCAAACACTTTAACCACTAGGCTACCCCCGCCCCCGTATAGAACTGTATTAAAACTTTTATGCTTTGTTGCACTGTTTAGCTTTGAAATACGACTCATAAACTGCAAAAAATAGAAATATTTATTGTGACAACCATCTTAAACTTCAAAAGTGGCATCCTGTAAATATTTTTCTTTCCAAACCATGGCCTACCTCCAATCTCACACATGCTAACCCGTAACCACATATCTTATCAAACAGTGACATATTAACCCGATAAACAGGAATATGTTTGCCCAAACAATCTTTAGGACGATTAAAACACAAAACGCTAACCGAAGCAAGTTGTCAGTTCCCGACACCCAAGCCCCCCAGGATTGTTTTTAAACGCTTTCCTCTTGGAAAAACCAAATAAACATTCCACAGAGAAATTATCCGATGAAATAAACAACTTATCTATAAACGCTTATTCAATTGGTTTTTCAAGGTAACGTATTTGAAACAGGACTTGTTTACTTGCCTCTGTCTTGTGTGGTTCTGTCTTATTAAGAATATGAGTAAGTGAGTGAGTTTAGTTTAACGCCGCTTTTAGCAATATTCCAGCAATATCACGGCGGGGGACACCAGAAATGGGCTTCACACATTGTACCCATGTGGGAATCGAACCCGGGTCTTCGGCGTGACGAGAGCGAACGCTTTAACCACTAGGCTAAGGACGATTAAAACACAAAACGCTAACCGAAGCAAGTTGTCAGTTCCCAACACCCAAGCCCCCCAGGATTGTTTTCTAAACGCTTTCCTCTTGGCAAAACCAAATAAACATTCCACAGAGAAATTATCCGATGAAGTAAACAACTAATCTATGAAACGCTTATTCAATTGTTTTTTAAAGGTAACGTATTTGAAACAGGACTTGTTTACTTGCCTCTGTCTTGTGTGGTTCTGTCTTATTAAGAATATGAGTAAGTGGGTGAGTTTAGTTTAACGCCGCTTTTAGCAATATTCCAGCAATATCACTGCGGGGGACCCCAGAAATGGGCTTCACACATTGTACCCATGTTGGAATCGAACCCGGGTCTTCGGCGTGACGAGCGAACGCTTTAACCACTAGGCTACCCCACCGCCCCTATTACGAATACGAATTGTTGAAAGTTATTCTTATAGGCCACTAAACTGGACTGACATGTCATTTATCAAGTGACATGTCACTTGTCATTAGTCCCTGTTGGGTTTTACCCTTCCTGTGTCACAGAATACCTGAGCGACGAAACTTGATGAGAAGAAGAAAGAATTGTCGATCAAGGTGGGTTTCGGCACGCAGTCCAAATAGTAGTCTGTCTCACAGTCCCTGAACCACATTATTTTCCATACTGCCTAGCCCTCACTGCAGTGCTAAAGCCTGAAATAAAGCAAGTCTAGATTTCCTCAGGTTAGCTACTTACTTGATTAGTGGATTAAACCAGCTCTTATCTTTTATGAAGAGAGTGAGCATGTGCTATTTAGCAATATTCCAGCATTATCACGACATAAAGGACTGCACACAATGTATCCATGTGGGGAAACGAACCCGAGTGTGCGGCGTGAGGCTGTAACCACTGGGCTACCCCACCACTACAGTTTTATTAAGGTCTCTGAGTTAAAGGTGAGATTGAGGGGTATAATAGAGTGAATGGGTAAAATAGAGCTACTGTGTTGCCGCCTGTCTCTCTGATGTTATAATGGTCTGGTTAACGTGGGATGGATAGCCGAAGCAGCCCAAGACAATCGTCGAAAGAGTCAAACTCAGAATGCCCATTAGATCTTATGTTTATGAAGAAAATGAGAAATACAGTCACCAGGGATCCATGGTTTCTCTCTCTCTCACACACACTCGCACGCACACTGACTGACTGACTGAGTTTGGTTTTACGCCGCTTTTAGCAATATTCCAGCAACATCACGGCGGGGGACACCAGAAATGGGCTTCACACATTGTACCCATGTGGGGATTCGAACCCGGGTCTTCGGCGTGACGAGCCAACGCTTTAACCATTAGGCTACCCCACCGCCCCCGCACGCACACACATACACACACACACGCACGCACGCACGCGCACGCACACACGCACACACACACAGAGCACAGTTATCTCAGAAGGATAAGACATTAATTATTTTACAAAATATATCTTATAAATAATATCCAAAATGGAACCCTGATCAATGCGTAATTTCAGCAGAACCTAAAGCCGAAGCAATCTAGGCTAGTTAAATCGTTCCAGACTTGATTTGGGCTCCTTTTCTTCTATATCCTTCAGGGTTTTGGAGATAGCATACACTATACATAATGAGACATTATACTTCACAAACCACAGACAGTGATTATATACAAAGACTCAGATATGAGTGTGAAGAACAGAGATCGTTGATATTATACTCAGGGAGACGCGAATATTGTGTAAACATAACATGCCCTTTTGACGCCAAGCTTTACGAAAATTCTTATCTGATAAGACCTGGAATATAAGACTATGTGTCTCGATCTTCTTATCTCATCACGTTTCAGACCGTGTGAGGCTTCATCAGCTGTCTTCTCGC